CAGTGAATATAGACCGATGGTAAGAGCAAATGCACATTTCATCTCAGCCTCAGAGCAGTTCTGGGAAACAGATAGGAAACCAAAGTTCTGCAAGAGCGTGGGACACTCTCAGGGACATATGACACAGTTGGTCTCACATTTGGAGACTGGGTCTCCTAATCCTGGTCTCTGTCCCAGGCATAATGCTTTTATATAAAGTCCCTTGGATTGTTTGTTTGTTTCCTTTCTTCAGCCTAAATAACTTAGTTTCTCTAAACTTTTCTCCCAGGGACTCTTTTTTAACCCTTTGAATTATTGCTGATTATTAACTTTTTTTTTTATTTTGCATGTCATATTTTAGCAAAGCATTAATAAGGAACATGGCACAAAGCAGACCCATATTTTTGGATGTTGTGGACTTTGTCATGCTGCTTATTCAGTTCTATCTAGTCAGTACCTCCAAGGCATTGATGCTGCCTTACCTTCTTCATTCGAAGGCTTTCTTGTGAGAGGTGGAATATATGTAAGGAGGCAAACACACAGGATTATATGTCTGCTCTGCTTTACAGAGACCTTTTCCAGGAGTGTAATATGGGAGTTGCTCATAACCTGAAGAAAATAGTGGAAGGAGGCTGGGCACGGTGGCTCAAGCCTGTAATCCTAGCACTTTGGGAGGCCGAGACAGGCAGATCACGAGGTCAAGAGATGGAGACCATTCTGGCCAACATGGTGAAACCCTGTCTCTACTAAAAATACAAAAATTAGCTGGGAATGGTGACGCATTCCTGTAATCCCAGCTACTTGGGAGGCTGAGGCACAAGAATCGCTTGAATCCAGGAGGCAGAGGTTGCAGTGAGCTGAGAGATTGCACCACTGCACTCCAGCCCTGGTGACAGAGCAAGACTGTCTCAAGAAGAAAAAAAAAAAAAGAAAAGAAAAGAAAAAGTGGAAGGCTATTACTGTCATGAGAGCCAGAAGGTGGCCTGGCTTCATAGGGCTGTGCCACAGGATTCCTGAGTAAGCATTCTGGTATTAATTCTTTGTTCACTAGGGTGGTTCTTCATTTCCCACAGTTGAACCTGGTATATTATATGCTTACCTATTCTTTTCTGTGATCCATAGAGGTAATTTAATTTTCAATCCATGTACCTACCCCACCTACTTAGTTTCTTCTCAGTGCCACACTTAATTCCTTCACATTTACTGATCGATTAAATGAGAAGCCTGTGCCAAGTGAAGGTTCAGCATCTTTAGAACTCTATGCGATGCATTCCCTGAGGCTGCCCTTCAATAACTGATGTAATGTTCTTTGAGCGGTGACCTGTTAGAGGTGCCCAACCAGGTCAGATGAAAAGCCCTCTGATTTATTGAAATAGTGCCTTAGTAAAGTATTAGTTTATTTTCACAAAGCTAGATTAGTTGTTACATATTGGTTTTTAACATTGGTTTTGCTTAGCCCTAGTGTGTATGGAGGTGACCTTGATGTGCCTATAGAATATTAGGGATATCCATTTTATGTCTCAAAGTACATACCCCACAGTTCTCTGGTGCAAATTTAGTTACTTTATCAGGCCCTCATATGTTTTCAAAAATAATTGCTAATGACTTTGATGAAACTAGGCGAGATATTTCTTGGTTTTAAGGCAGTTTGGTCGATAGTTTGCAGCCCTCCTAATTTAATAGAATTTTTACTGCCTTTCCACTCTAGTGCTTCACACACAAATGACAAGCTCACAGGGGACTTATCTATAAAAGTCAGAGATAAAAATAAGTGCAGTGCTTAAGAAATCTGTCTTATAGTATCATTTATTTAGAGCTTCCTCTCCTTTTCTGATGAAAGGCTACTGTCGTTTCCTTTTGTCCATTTTTGCTTAAGGCTTTTCGGTAATATTCCCATGTGTCCCCTGTGATGCTAAGAGCATGAACTTGAGGGCAGGCTGACTGGCATTGAGGTCCTTGCCCAGCCTCCGGCTGCAAGACAGCGTGAATAATAATATTGATTTAATGGAGCTGAAGTGAAAATTAACTTCTCTAATCTGTGGAAATGCTTTGTTATAATCCTTAAACACATAGATAAATATATAGGTTGAAATGGCAAGTACCAAGTGTTGACATATGTCCAGAATTGCCACATGCCACATCTGAATGTTTTTAGTCAGATTATTTAATAAGATTATAAATTAATAGATTATTAAATGGGTATCTCTCACTCTCTAGGTATTTCTGTTTCTGTTTCTCTGTTTTCTGTTTGTGTCTCCATTTCTTTTAATGCCTACCATTATTTCTGTCAACTCTGCCACCTTCTTATACATGGATATTTCAGAGAAATAAATTTTAATTATTATTGATATATAATCTTAAATAAAATCAAATTAATGGAATCTTTATTTTTATCTCTTTTAAAAAAACTCAGTGTTGTTCTTTTTTCAATTACTGATTAAATCTTGAGTCTTTTGCCTCCAGTGAATCAGTGGTTTTTCAGCAGAAAATCTTTCATCTCCATTGCTTTTTGCTTTTGTTGCTAGGCAGTTAACAGCAGGGCTACTAAAACTCTTCTAATTTAGGCAAATCTTTTCCTCTATTTTACAAATGGATTTCAGTGGCACTCAGTTTGTTTGCAGAAACCTACTGAAAAGTATATGGTACAGATATGAATGTTTATAGTTACAGAATAAAAAAGTGAATATTCTGCTGACTTTTAGAAAAATAACAGGGAATGTGGGGTCACTCATAGTGTGGAGGGAAATTTTGAGAATTTTAAGCACCTTTGAAGCATACTAGCAGTTGTAAGCTCTAGGAGTGTTTTGTGTGCATTTGATTTTTTTCCTTTTTAAAAATCTCCTTCCTTCCACAAACTGTTGCATGGGAAATGACGTATCACTATATTTTTGTGTGTGTGTGGAGGGGGGGGTTGATGGCCAGGCAAAGCCTCCTCAACTCAACTGTACCTTCCTCCTCTTACCTCACAGCCCTAAGCTAATCACTACTTCTGTGCCTTCTTCTGCCTCCTTGGAAGGGGTCCATTTAGTTCAAGGTGTAAATATTGACTGAGTATATTGTGTTAGTCCAGTCTCTTGTGATTGCAAATGAAATACCTCAAGTCAAACATTCATTTAAGAGTGGGTGCAGTGGGGCTGGGCACAGTGGCTCACTCCTATAATCTCAGCACTTTGGGAGGCTGAGGCTGGCAGATCAAGGTCAGGTGTTCGAAACCAGCTTGGCCAACATGGTGAAACCCTGTCTCTACTAAAAATACAGAAGTTAGCCAGGCGTGGTGGCAGGAGCCTGTAATCCTAGCTACTCAGGAAGCTGAGGCAGGAGAATCACTTGAACCTGGGAGGCGGAGGTTGCAGTGAGCTGAGATCATGCCACTGCACTTTAGCCTGGGTGGCTAAGCAAGACTCCATCTGGNAAGTGCGCTGCATTGTGGGAGGTGAACTTATTGAGAGGGTGATCTGGTAGCATGAAAGAATGGAGTCAGTGCACCCTTCTACATCCATGTCTTTGTTGTTTAATCTTCTTTCCTCCTGAACCCTTGCATCTTCTTGGAAAGGCCCATGCTGTCTCCGTGGCACCTCGAGGCAGGTCCTTTCCTCTATTTAGATTGTGCTCCCATCCCTCTTTCTGTCCACTTTGGTCTGGATAACTCTTGCTTGTTCTTCAGGATTCGTCTTAGATGTGTCCGTCTCCTGGACGTCTTCCCTGCCACCCAGCCTGGGATGCATTCCTCATGTGTTTTCATAAAATCCTGTGCCCAGGACCTATCTATGCACTTAAGTAATAGTCGCTCATTTGCTTGTGTGTTTCAACTGCACTTGATCTTCTAGAGGGTGGGAAATGTGTCTGATTCATTCATCCATTCTTTACCCGTGGTCTTATTCATAAACAGAGAAAAATATTTGTTGTGTGAGTGACCGTTGGGATCTCTTTTCATTTTGGTATATTACTTTGCTTTCTGGGCTGAGCTCAGGACAGATGCCAATGCCTTTCCCTCGAATGACATCAAAGCCCTACTTCTAAAACCAGACTGGATGTGATTCCCTTCTACAAACAGATTCAGTCAAGAAATGTGAATATTCTTGCAAAAAGCCCATTTGATAATAGTAAAAGTTTTGTGTAGTATCTAGATATAAATAACAATGAATTAGATATATGTATAAAATATTTATAAGGGAACTCTAATCAGTAAGCAACCAGATTGACTGAATAGTGGATATGAACAGAGTGGAGGAATTGGTCAAGAAGTTGCCTGAGCTACTCTGCCTATGGAGTAGCCATTCTTTATTCCTTTACTTTCTTAGTAAACTTGCTTTGGGAAAAAAAAAAAAAAAAAAAAAAAAGGAAGGTGCCTGGCAGTGAACATTCATTCTTAGTGGTTTATTTTTCATTTTTTTCATTGACTCCATTTATTTCAATGATCAGTTTAAAAGCCTTTTAAGTAAGTTGGGAAAAAAAAAAAAAAAACCCAACTTGTACTCATCATACAATGGCCAAAACCACAATTACTTTTGCACCAACCTAATAACTTGTTAATTTGTCCTTCCCTCTTAGGGGTAACCATAGCATAATAATCTTTAATAACTAATATATTAAATATAGCTATTTTCCATTTATTCTAAGGTTGAAATACTGCTTGTTGGCGCATCAAGGACTTTGATGTGCAGGTCCCACAAAACGTGTAAGAGCACCTTCTCTTTTTGGCTAACAGTTTTGTAACCAACTTTGATTAAACTCTTTCATGGTTTTGAATCCATGAGAACCATTCTCAACAATTGTTTTGAGAGTTAGAAACTAAAACTTTTCTTTTTTCTCATACTTAGCTTCCCCCCCCCCCAAGGTATATTACTTTACACCTAGTATTCTGAGCCTATGTATTGGTGAATAATTTTAATGGGACCTCACTATGGTTCTAAGAGTTCTCATCATCAGAAATAAATGATTTTACTAGAGAGAAAAATGAAAGAGCTGCTTTTACTGACATACATTCCTTGTTCTCCCTTTCTCTCTCTTTTCTTTTTCAGTGAGCATGTTTTTGAACACATTAACGCCGAAGTTCTACGTGGCCCTGACAGGCACTTCCTCACTAATATCAGGGCTTATTTTGGTAAGTGGTGGAGTCCTTCTCCCTTAAAAACATGCTGATTAGTAATATGTATATTAGTGTATGTACAAGAAAAAAATCTGGAAGGATATACACCAACAGGTTACAGTGATTATCTTCCACATGTCTATATGTTGGGGAGTGGACTCATAGAAACCTTTTACCACCCCATTAATAGATTTCTGAAATATTTGAAAAAAATGTAAGCAATCATATATTACTTTGTTGAAAAGGAAAAAAAAACTGTAAATAAAATGGAAAATAAAGGAAGATATAATTCTTTGTCAAATTTTACAATCTAAGATACTATAAAATAAATGCAACTCAGTTTAACTAAAAATTATCAAAATGGGGCCAGTCGCTGTGGCTCACATCTGTAATCCCAGCACTTAGGGAGTCCAAGGCGGGTGGATCACTTGAGGTCAGGAGTTCGAAACCAGCCTGGCCAGCCTGGTGAAACTCCATCTCTACTAAAAATACAAAAAGGGAGGCTGAGTAAGGAAAATGACTTGAACCCGGGAAGCGGAGGCTGCAGTGAGCTAAGATTGTGCCATTGCATTCCAGCCTGGGTGACAGAGCAAGACTTAATCTCAAAATAAAAATATAGTCATCAAAATGGAATCTTGTACAAAATCAAGATCAGTAGAAATATAGCTTAGTTTTTTAAAATGTATTGAGATGGATTGTGACAATTGTTTTCCTTTCATATTTTCTTTCTAAATTTACACTTCTTTATGCATTGCTTCCTTTAAAAAAAGTCCCCAAAATGCAAAAAAGCAATATGATTATTATTTGTATGGCTCTCTTACCTTATCTTTGTAACAGTTGCAGGTGTGCTAAATCATAATACCTGAAGTAGTTAATTTTAGTGGCTTCAGATGGGGACCATCTAAATTCAGTGGGACTACTCTAATAGAATTAAAGAGGCAAAGAGGTTTTAGAAAAGGTTTTTTAAATACCTGTACCCATATACTTGTGATGACTAATTATTATAGAAACAAGCACAAGAAAAGTTTTACAGAGTTGATGTCTAGAAAAATGGATGATCAGAAGAAAAACAGAAAAACTTTAGAGAAGGACACAAACATATGTAGCAAAGAACATAAATGGACCTAGAATAATGGTGGATTTCAGAAGCTTGAGCTTGTAAAGAGCCAGAGTAAAAAGGTGGAGAAATGTATGCAAGACAGAAACCTGAAAACAGCGGAGATGGATGGTGGCAGTGTGGGATCATCTTTTTGTGTTCAGAAAACATCCAGGTTCATCTTGCTTTGCTGTGTCATATGGATTTCTGAACTAATGTGCCATTGGTTCAGAAATCCATATGACACAGCAAAGCAAGATGTGTAAAGATGTTTAAAGTTGATGTTAAACATCCTCCCACACATCTCTATTCCAAGTTGCAGAGTCCCATTCTTTTCCAATGAATGCCCTCACTTTAACAGTAGATACCTGGTGAGACTGAGCATTTACCTTTCATTGCAGGTCAGCTACTCACATGATAAGAGCTTATGTCTGTTTTCCCACAATTTCAGCTCTTCCTCTACAGGAGATAAGACTCTCACTCAGGGCACTCTTAGATTCGAGGCTCAGGATATGCTTCTGGAGACAAGAGTTAGAATCCCTGAGTTCATTGTTTTCTTTCATCACTTTGTCCAGCAAACTTAGGAGCAACCAAACAACTTTATTATATTCCTTGGTTCTCCACATATGGTCAAAGGTATTATGTGTAGAGTTGCCAAACTCTTTGCCTCTGAAGAGTGATGAATCAGGAGTATCAAAGCATTTATTTTGCATAACTGTCTAGACAGGTCACATCAAGGACTGTCAGTGTTCTCCATAGTATTAGAAGTAGAGTCCTTAGCATTTTTGGGTCTAATTATATTAAGCATCCAACTCCAGAAACCCCCAAACCAACTAAAGAAATCTATCCTTAAAATTCTGTTTCTCTAGAACCCCTCCTGTTACTAAAAACCTGTTTTGGATAAGTGGAAAGCCAAATAGAAAGCCCAGTGCTGGCTGCAAAGACCAACCCAAGTTGAGGGGAAGCATATTAAACTTCCTCTTTAAAATGGGTTAAAATAAGGTATGTGTGATAATTTGTACTATGGCACCTCTTAAATACTAATCTGGTCACCTGTATGTGTCTCTGAAGTTTTCCTTGTGTTTTAGAGACATGAGAAAAATAAAGACCCTGTAGAGATCAGCTCCATAAAGCTATAAAGCTGGTCACTAGTGTATTCCATGTAAGGGCTGTAGTTTATTCTGATATTGTGTCCTTACCATTTAATGTTAAAATTTCCTTCTGAAATGATGGTGATAATGTATGGTAGTGTTATTTTACCATTATTACTTTGCAAAGAAGAACATAGCAGCCCCACATTGGACTTCACATTTATTGGATGGCAGGAACTCTTGGCTTAAGAGAACAACAATCTCAAAAATTTACTTCTACTTCACCTGTTGAGGAACAACATAAGTTGGCCAAATGGGAAGTAGTAAAAATATTTGAATCTGACTTAGAGCAATGAATGGAGAAGAGAAAGGCTTTAGATAATCTCTTCAGTCTAGGGGATTGAGGGCAGAGGAAATTAATCTGAGAGAGGATTTGGTAGAGGGAAGCCAGCAGAAACTGTTTTGCTGGAAAACCACAGAAAAAATTCTGGTAACTGGTGAAGGTATGGGAATGAATCTCCTACTCCAAAGGTTTCTAACTTTATTAATTAAAAAAGATTTTCATTAGGAGGCTATATACTTACTATTTAGAGCTAGGGTAAGAAACTATATTAACATAGTGGGAATTACATAATATCCAGAGAGGACAGGGAGTAGACAGAAGATGATGAGAGGAAGTAATGAAAAGGGGAGATCAGTTTCAGTGAGACAGGTGATAGAAGAGAAAACCATGAAAAAGGAAGAAGCCAAGTGAGGCCTGTTGGCAGACACCATGATCTTATATTTAGAAAAACCTAAAGACTCCACCAAAAACTGTTAGAACTGATAAACAAATTCTGAAGAGTTGCAGGATACAAAATCAGCATACAAAAATCAGTAACATTTATATACGCTAACAGTGAATAATATGAAAAAGAAATCAAGAAATCAATCCCATTTACAATACCTACAAAAGTACAAAATACCTAGTAACCAATTTAATAAAAAAAGTGAAAGATGTATACAAGGAAAACTGTTAAACCCTGATGGAAAAAAATTGAAGAGGACACACAAAAAGTGGAAAGATATTTCATGCTCATGGATTGGCAGAATTAATACCATCAAAATGACAATACGCTGCAAATAAATTTGACAGTACTCTGCAAATAAATTCACATATTTAATGGAATCCCTATGAAAATACCAATCACATTCTTTATAGAAATAGAAAAAAAATCTAAAATGTATATGGAACCACAAAAGACCCTGAATAGCCAGAGCAATCCTGAGCAAAAAGAACAAAGCTGGAGGCATCACACTACCTGGCTTCAAAATATATTACAAAGTTATAGCAACTGCACCAGCGTGGTACTGGCATAAAAACAGACACATAGCAATGGAACAGAATAGAGAGCCCAGACATAAACTCACATGTTTATAACCGACTCATTTTCGACAAAGGTACTGAGAATGTACGTTGGAGAATAAACAGTCTCTTCAGCAAATGTGTTAGAAAAGCTGAATAACCATATGTAGAAGAATGAAGCTGGACCTCTATCACCATATACAAAATCAAATCAAAATGAATTAAATACTGAAATCTAAGACCTGAAACCATGAATCTTGTGAAAGAAAACATTGGGGAAATCCTCCAGGACATTAATGTGGGCAAAGATGTTTTTTGTGTAAAACCTCAAAGCACAGGCAACCAAAGCAAAAATAGACAAATGGGATTATATCAACCTAAAAAGCTTCTGCACAGCAAAGGAAACAATAAAGTGAAGAGACAACCCATAGAATGGGAGAAAATATTTGCAAGCAATTCATCTGACAAGAGATTAATAATCAGAATATATAAGGAGCTCAACTCAATAGCAAAACCCCAAATAATCCACTTAAAAATGGGAAAAACATCTGAATAGACATTTCTCAAAAGAAGAATTGCAGACGGACAATGGGTATATGAAAAAATGGTATTGCTAATCTTCAGAGAAATGCAGACCAAAACCACAATGAGCTATCACCTCATTATGGTTAGAATGGCTTCAAGCGATTCTCCTGCCTTAGCCTCCTGAGTAGCTGGGACTACAGGCGTGTGTCACCATGCCTGGCTAATTTTTATAGGAAGACAGGGTGTGGTGGGTACATTGGCTTATGCCTGCAATCACAGCACTTTGGGAGGCAGAGGCAGGAGGATCACTTGAAGCCAAGAGTTCAAGACCAGCCTGGCCAACATGGTGAAACTCCATCTCTACTAAAACTACACAATTAGCTGGGCATGGTGGCACAAGCCTGTAGTCCCAGCTACTCAGGAGGCTGAGGCAGCAGAATCACTTGAACCCGGGTGGTGAAGGTCTCCCTACATTGCCCAGTCTGGTCTTGAACTCCTGGGCTCAAGCGATACTCTTCCTTGGCCTCCCCAAGTGCTGGGATTATAGGTGTGAGCCACCATGCGTGGCTGAGGTTGATTAATAGATACAAATATACCATTCGGATAGAATAAATAAGACCTACTCTTTGACAGATTGTTAGGGTGACTATAGTTAACAATCTGTTGTATACTTAAAAGAGAATAATTTGAATGTTCTTAGCACAAAGAAAAGAAAAATAAATTTAAGGCGGTAGATATTCTAGTGACCCTGATTTGATCTTTACATATTATATGAAGGTATCAAATTATGACATGTACCCTGAAAATTTGCACATCTATTATGTATCAATCTTAAAAAGCTATGGGGAGAATCAGGGATTGTTGAGGTGCTAGGACTCTGGTCATTTAGTGGTAAGCCACATTCATTTTTCAGAGGAGAAAATCGAGACCAACAGGAGAAAGAAAAGGAAATGTTTTG